AATGACTGACAGTCATTTTGGTGTCAACCCCTATGAAAAGTCAGGCTCAGTCATGGCCCGAGAGCCCGACAGTGTCAGGAGAGAGAGGAGGGAACTCGGCGGCATACCTCATCCTCGCGGGGTGAACGTCCTTTCCTCTCTCTGCCGGGATCCATCACCAAGATGGCTGCCAGCAGGCGTCAATAAGAAAACCGTGCATGTGTGACGACGTCACGGCAGGGTGCCACCTGTTCTCCGTTCCGGGTGTCACCCAGCCTCGGGACGCTTAAGTTCTTGGATACTGATACACCAAATTTTTGGTGTTAATAATTTTTTTGGTTGTTGCTGTATTTATGTAATATTTGTTGATATATATTTTTCTTTTATATTGTCTGTTTTATATTGTCTGTTTTAAGAGAAACTTAATAATAATATCTGATTAAAAAAAAAGAGAAGGAGCTTACTTTGTACATAGATGACAAAGGGGAATTTAACCTGTGTGTGTTCAGCCATTTGAGGGCTTGATTCGGTTGAGAGCTGAAATAAGCACACTGACAACCTTGATAATTGGCATGCTTTAAAAGTAACTGTTTTGGGAGACATTAAATTGTTGGATAAAGTTCCACTTTAACTTAGATGTAGTATGAAAAGGAATGAAAGCAACAATGAGTGTGACAGGACTAGAATTTACCTCAGAATACTACAAAATGACAACCCTCTATGACCTTATTCCTATGTGCAGTCACCTATAGCAACCAATACACCTTCTACTGACATCAGCAGAGTCCATTCAGATTGGGTGCAATGGGTCGGCGCACAAAAGAATAAGGGCCGTGTCAGGCGGGTGACTAATTTACAGCAAACCCCTTTTTTGTCTTTTAATATGATTTCTAATAAAGCATAGTTATTTTCTGTGGTATCATATACAGCGATTTGTAGCTCATGTGCTCAGCAATTGGGCTTGTGCAGAAAGTCATGTCAGCGAGACGCTTACCAGCAACAATCATTCTGCACTCACCTCTGTGACTTAGTATCAAGTCGCTGAAGGAGAGCGATTTCCAGCAGCAAATACCAACATAATCATGTGGCACGAGTCTTCTCAGGGACAAATCGTCAGCTACTAGAGTGATTATGTCGCTAGTTACTAATCGCTGGTAATTGCTAACTTTAGCAAACTAGCGGTGAGGAATCGATGCTACAAAATCGCTCATGTGACATGGCTATAACCAGGGCCGGCCCTATGTCAATTGTTACTTGATGCAATGTAATTCCTGGGGAGGGGGGCGACATGGGCAGCTGATTTGTCGTTCAAAGGGTGGGGGGGGGGGGGGGGGGTGGGGCCCCAGCC